CGGCGTGGTAGAGAGCGTATCCCCAGAGAGAGTGTGGAGCGTTGGAGTGGCTGAGGAGGCACCGAGTGATCTGCACTAGAGTGTGGTTGCGGCTCTCAGCTATGCCGTTCTGTTGAGGGCTGTCAGGGAGGGTGAAGTTTTGCTGGATGCCTTCGGAGGAGCAGAAGGCTTTAAGCTTGTCGTTGCAAAATTCACCCCCCCCATCCGAGTGAAGGCGCTTGACCTTGCGGTCAAAGGTGGTCTGTGCCTGCTTGACCCACGCCATGATGACCTCTGGAGCCTCAGCCTTAGTGTGGAGGAGGTGAACAGAGACGTATCGTGAGTGGTCATCCACGATAACTAGGAAGTAGCGATATCCACCTCGTGCAAGAACAGGGGCAGGGCCCCAGACGTCCATGTGCACTAGGTCCAGTGGTGCCGCTGCGATTGTGGGTGAGGCAGTGTGGGGCTGTTGGCGCAGTTTGCTCTTGGTGCAATCAAGGCACGTGGGAGCGGGTGAGTCAGGTGGTGGAGGAAGTGTGGCTGGCAGGCCGAGAAGAAGTTTCTTGGAGGCCATGTCAGCAAGCGTGCGGAAGTTTGGGTGCCCTAACCGATGATGATAGAGGATGGTCGGGTTGGAGAGGCTGCGACATGTGCATGGTGTGATGGGAGCCTGTGCTTGGGTGGTTGAAACCTGTGGGAGAGGAACGCGTAGCGTGTAGAGGCCGCTGCTATTGAGGGTGAAGCGGGCCAAGACCTTGTTGGTGAGTGGGTCAATGATGTCGCAGTGGTCCTCATTCTCCGAGAAGATGGTGCGTAGCCCTGCTTTCTGAATTTCTGTTTGAGCCACTAGATTGTGGCGTAGTGAAGGCACGCACATGCCAGTGACGGTGCCGGAAGGGAAGGCTGGGCATGGGACTGTGGAGGTGCCCTTGGCTAGGGTGGTGAAGCTGGAGTCAGCTCCCAAGAGAGGGATAGGTGCTGGATAGGGTTTGAAGGAGAGTGTCTCCTTGAGCACAGTGTGAGTGGCCCCACTGTCGAGTGTGAACTCTATGTACTGTGGTGCCTGTGATGAGTCGATGTACTGGGAAGTGGCTTCATTAATCATGGCAGTGCCAGGAAACAACAGGTTGATACGCACATCAACAGGAGCACTGTCACTAGCACTAGCCGAAGAGGGGTCCTGGACCTCAACGAGATTGGCCTTACGAGCGCGCATCCAGTTTGGCGGCTTCTTGTCAACCCCGTGGATGGCATACCACTCGTCGTCTTTCTTCTTGAAGCACGTGGCAAGGGGGTGGTTAGTGCCACCACACACTTGTCCCTTGCGGTTGCCATACTTGACGACGTAGGTGCACGGAGGAAAGCGGTTGCGCTGGAAAGGCGCCGAGGCAAGGGCTGCTGCAACACTTGCTAGGGGCATGGGAGCACGGATGGCGTATGCCTTGGCCTGAGCAGTGGAGTCTTTCTCGGCAGAGAGGAGTGCGGTGGAGACCTTAGCAAAGGTGAGGTCTTCCGCTGAGAGCGTGAGGAGCATCTTCCTTGTCACTTCATATGCCGAGGAGAGACCAACAAGAAGGGCGGCTGCAGGGGCTTGTTCGGGGAAGACTATACCCAGCTCCTTGAGTTCACCATGAATGGTCTGCACCTTGGCGATGTAATCAGCCATTCCTGAGCAGTCCTCAAGGCGGACTTGAAACATGCTGGGGATGAGAATCGCCACTCCGACCGCCGTCTTGTTCATGAACCGATCCTGGAGATACTTCCAGATGGCGTTGGAGGTAGGGTAGTTGTGGAACGTGTTGACAAGTTCGGGAGGGGTGGAGGCAATGAAGACGCTGATGATGGCAGCATCGGCCTTCTCCCACTTCCGGTACTTCTCAACAGCTTCTTCGTACGTCATCACGTCAGCATCATTTGAAGATTCGGTCGGTTCACGGGGAAGAGTGGGCTGTTTCCCCTTGCCACGGTTGAGGAGGACGTCCTTGAGGTCAAGGCCCTGCACGTCACGGCTCAGGAGGTGCTTGTCAACTCCGTAGCTCCACGCCTTGAAGTTGGAGCTAGAGCCATCGGCTTCAAGGCGGAGCGGGGTGATGGGGTTCGCCATGGTGGAAGACGAGAAAGCCATGGTGGAGACCCCTTAACTTCTCGCGCGGAGCGCCGCTCTTAAGTCACCAATAGGAACTTGAGGTTTGGGGTTTCCAAAGGAGATTTTGAAGAACCGGAGGTTTAGGGTTTACGAAGGAGAATTTGACTGAGACGCCAATTTAGTGTCAACTACCTACTAGTCCTATTCCCACACACCCCCCCACACACCACCCTCTGCTTCGCGGCTACGCTGCTGCTCGGCTGCGTTGCTGCACCTGTTCAGCTGCGGGAAAGAGGGGGGATGGGGGTAGGAGTGCAGATGCGGGGCGACGGGCGGCAGCCCGAAGATGACGCTGCGGGGCGACGGGCGGCGGCCCGACGAGAAGCTGCAGGGCGACGGGCGGCAGCCCGTCGAGGAGAAGAAGTGACGAATTGATGAAAACGAGTGTTAGGTTAGAGCGCCGACGATGCGCTTACCAGAGAAGTTTCCGTCGATGGTGACGGGAAGATTTGGCGGGAGAAATTCCGCCGATGAATGTCGCGAATCAACGGCGACGAGATTGGCGATGGCTTCCCCGAGGTTTGCGGGACAAGTATCCGCAGAGATGAGAGGATCACGATCCGCGTATGCGGTTGAGCTGCTCTGATTACCATGTCAGAACTTGAGCTTAGAATCGATACTATAGTAGTGAGCTCAAAGCTCTTTAAGTACATCCGGAATGAGCAAGGTAGGGATGAGGAGGGAATCAGGAGGCAATCCTAGGGAATCAAGGGTAATCCCAAGGCAATCTCCAATTGGTGGGTTGGAGATTGCTTGGAGATTACATTTGGGTTTGGTTGGGATGTGGGTGTACACCCAACCAAACACAAAGTGCAAACTACACTAAACTAGGATATAAAAGTACAAGTACAAAATGTGAGATTGGGGCCTAACACCAACAGGTGGCACATGCATGGGATGGTGGCACATGCATGGGATGGTGGGACTAGCATGGGATGGTGGCACATGCATGGGATGGTGGCACATGCATGGGATGGTGGCACATGCATGGGATGGTGGGACTAGCATGGGATGGTGGCACATGCATGGGATGGTGGCACATGCATGGGATGGTGGCACATGCATGGGATGATGGGACATGCATGGTATGGTGGCACATGCGTGTGATGGTGGCACATGCATGGGATGATGGCACATGCATGGGATGGTGGCACATGCATGGGATGAAGGGACATGCATGGGATGGTGGCACATGCGTGTGATGGTGGCACATGCATGGGATGATGGCACATGCATGGGATGGTGGCACATGCATGGGATGGTAGCACTATTCAAGCCATGCCCACGTACCCCCATTCGCCATAGTCACAAGCGAATGTGAATCCTACCATGCGTACATTTGAATCGTCGAAAAACATGGCAATGGGCATGCGCAGCTCGAAGCCCCTGTTCACCATGTGGAGTGTAGAACCCCATCTCGTCAGGCAGTCCACGATCAAACGCAACGGACCCGATGGTCGCCGAGAACCCGGAGGACCCTGGGGCCGGGTCGTCGCGTATCCCTTCTGGAGCTCGAAGAAACGATCTGTGCGCAGTGTGGACCAGCCGATGTAGTTCGCCACGTCTCGCAGCCTCTTGAGTGGCTCGGCCACCTCGTCAACCTTCAGTGCAGCTTGCACTGCAAGGTTGACGACGTGCGCCATGCACCTGTTGGGGCAATGCATTGTGCAGAGTGGGTTTAATGTCAGTGTACCACATAAGCACTGCCATAACAAACATGGTGGACTACGCCAACAGTTTATAGCATACCCTTACGGGGACAGCCCCATAGTACCTGAAGTGCCTCCAGCGACTGAGCAGTGGTGGGTGTCTGGGCCTTGAGCCCGACCTGGCGTCAGGTACACCAGCCAGCAGACGGATCGCCCTGCTGTTGTTCTCGGTGTTGTCACACATCACGGCGAACAACATCTTCTCCAAGCCCCACTCCCACAACACCTCCTCCAGCTCATCGGCTATCAAGTCCCCCGTATGAGAGCCCTTAAGCTCCCTGAAGTCTATAACAGCCTGTTTAAGCTGGAAATCGCTGGAGACATAGTTGGCAGTCACCCCCATGAAGGCCACGTTGTTCTCACTGGTCCAGATGTCAAAGGTGAGGGACATCCTTCCCGCTAGGCCATCACCCACCAGTAGCTGCCGCATGTCCTCCCTAGCAGCCTCCCTGTATGCCTGAATGTCCCGTGCCAAGCGATGGCGTGAGCCGAGCAGTAGCGCAGCTCCCGGGTTCAGCATCTTGACAAATGCTTTGAATTGTAACGCAGGAGTCAAAGGATGTCGGTAAAAGGATTATGAAGATGCTTCGGGATTAGCCAACAGAATGCAGTGCGGCTGCTCTGCACTAATATGACCACCTCAATACGAAGATGAACATGACCAACGGCAAGAGAACGGCGTCACTCACCTCGCGACACTCAACAAGTCGAAACGGAAGGTCAGCTGCCGCAAATAGCTGCACCAATCCCTCGCGCAGCTGCTGGCCATGAACACGCGGCGTGACGAATGCGGCCATGCTCATCTGCCTACTCCCACCAGCCTCGTATCCGCCAGTCACTGCGCTGTTTGGTGTCTGTACAATCCTGGGCCACGTGGCTGCATGCTCCCAAGGCCACGCTGTCTGGTCGGGGACATCCGGACCCCATCCCCCATCGGGAAACGTCAGGTTGTCTGGCTTGTTTGGATCCTTGAAACGCCGACACCAGATCTGCAGACTGGGGTAGTGGCTCCTCTTGAGGTGTCTCTTCCCCGTGCTCGTGCAACTACCTTTCCAGCTAATCTTCTTCTTGCAAATCTTGCAATTCCTAGCCTCTTTCACATCCTTCTCACTGAACATGCCACGAACCAGCCCGGGTTCTGCATTCCTAAGCACCTCCTCAGTTCATGGGTCCAGCTCCTCGTCGGTAGGAGTCCTGCCCGCCCTGTCGGACCTCTGGCTTGCTCCAGCCCCCGCAGACCCACCCAAAGGTGCACCACCTGCCGCAGCGGCGGAGGTACCTGCCCCTGCTGCGCCCGACCCCTCAGAACCACCCGCGGCTGCCCCCTGCGGCTGCGAATTCGACGCCGGCCCGGCCCCTCCAGCTCCCGACCCCACAGGCCCACTCGTGCGTGGCCTCTTTGCTGCTGCACCGCTGCCACGCGCGCCACTGCCACCAGCCTGGCCCCCTCCTCTCCCTCCCCAACCCTCATCACCCGATCCTCCACTCGTGCCGGCCGCCTCCCCCGGAGCCGGCCTCCAATCCGGGTCCTTCTCCTTTCCTCGTGTTCCTTGCTCCTCCGTCACTGGGCCAGGTCCTTGAGACTCCCATTCCCGCACCTCTTCACGCCTCCTCGTCGCGATTGCATCGTCCCACCCAATTTCCTGCCCATTGAAGACGCTCCCCAAGCGAAAACTGGCCCTGGAGGCCGGTGTCGGGAGGCCTCCAAGCGAAGCCCCAGGAATAGCGCGTGAGCTGTCTTCTTCCCCCTCCATTCGCGTGCAAGCGGCGTCGATTACGTTTCGGACCTTGGAGTCGCGACGTTTTTGTAATGGCACAGGCCTAGACAATTGGGGGTCGCGTCCCTAAAGATGCGGGCGTGGTAGGCGCGCAGTGGGCGATTTGAACGCGGGGCAAGAGTTTAGACGCGTGTGAGAGCTAGGAATAGGCATGATCATTAGGCCCGACCCGACCCGACCCGACTTGGGCGGGCCAGCCGGGTTCCGGGTCGGGTCGGGTCGGGTCGGCACTTCTAGGAATCCTGGCCCGACCCGGGTATCGGGTGCCGGGTCAGGCTTGACCCACCCCCGGGTCGGGTCGGGTAGGGGCCGGGTCGGGTCGGGTCGGGCCAGAACCCCATATTTAGTGTGTAGGGGTTTCCTCACTACTGTCCAGTGTTGCAAAGATTGAATGTTTGTGTAATATATTATTATATGAACGTCCTCCCTTATGTAAATTAACTATTCAAAGTTGCGTAAACTGTTACACGTGTTTGGAAAAATCCTACGAAGGCCTAAAAGCTAACGGAGTCAACTAGTAGTTCGACGCACAGGAATAAGAACCAATCAAGTTTTGGTCCGATCACGTTATCTGATGAAGTTGAGGGCATGAGCATCAATTACGAACAAATATCACAACCCCCTCGATTCATCCTCCACTCCCAGGGTGGGATTGGCCGTTGAGGTGCCCTTGGGAGTGAGAGTCCCCGAAGGGTGGTGGTCCTGCCACGTCTTAATCAGCATGGAAGCACGCACTTGGCCAGCTGCCAGTCGGTGTCGCTGCCAAGTAATGATGTTCCTGCTCTGTGAGAATGCGCGCTCACTCGCTGCTGACGAAGCCGGTACCCCTAGATAATCTTTAGCCATCGCCCTCAAGCCCTTCAGTGTCTCCCTGCTGCGCCAATACTCCAATGCGCTTCCACCCCTCTGCCTCCCCTGTGCGAGGTACTGATCCACCTCATCCTGTGGATCCTCCCCCTCTTCGGCCTCCATGGCGTCCCACGCAGAGAACAACTGAGACTGGATGCTGACATTTGCCGATGCATCCACAGCTCCACCCCCTGCCGATGCATGCACCCCTGCACCCCTCGCACTAGTCACCTCCCCACCATCTCCCAGCGCCGTGGTGCTGGCTGCCTGGTACTCTGGAAGGCGCGCCCGTACCAGGGCCTTCACCCTATCAGGTCCTAGCTCCAGTGTTGCCCCTCTCGAATTCCCCTCTGCTGCCCTGGCTCGGTGCTTGAAGGGTGCGAGCTTCTGGCGCGGGTCCAAGAAAGTGGCTATCGCTGCCTCCTCGCTCACACCCCCCATGTGCCGCTCCAGCTTGCTCAGAGCAGCAGTGATCAGCGATGAGCGCAGAGGGGAGATGCCAGGAGTGAGCTGTGCCTTCTCCTGCAAATCAATCAGCGCGTTGTACTGCGGTACAACGGCTGAGAGGGTAGGGTACAGGGAACCCTCGGCGAAGAGGGTGACTTGCTCGAATGGGGTGAGGAAGTCTCGGAGCTTGGCGAGGTCGTCCCAGTGCGCATTCGTCAACCTGATGGCGTCCCATGCCTTCTTAGTCTCCTTGCTGATGGATGACTGGTATGGGTCACATGGGTTGTAAAGATGGAGGCACAGCATGGGATGGTGGCACATGCATGGGATGGTGGCACATGCATGGCATGGTGGCACATGCATGGGATGGTGGCACATGCATGGGATGGTAGGACTAGCATGGGATGGTGGCACATGCATGGGATGGTGGCACATGCATGGGATGGTGGCACATGCATGGGATGGTGGGACTAGCATGGGATGGTGGCACATGCATGGGATGGTGGCACATGCATGGGATGGTGGCACATGCATGGGATGGTGGGACTAGCATGGGATGGTGGCACATGCATGGGATGGTGGGACTAGCATGGGATGGTGGCACATGAATGGGATGGTGGCACATGCATGGGATGGTGGCACATGCATGGGATGGTGGGACTAGCATGGGATGGTGGCACATGCATGGGATGGTGGCACATGCATGGGATGGTGGCACATGCATGGGATGGTGGGACTAGCATGGGATGGTGGCACATGCATGGGATGGTGGCACATGCATGGGATGGTGGCACATGCATGGGATGGTGGCACATGCATGGGATGATGGGACATGCATGGTATGGTGGCACATGCGTGTGATGGTGGCACATGCATGGGATGATGGCACATGCATGGGATGGTGGCACATGCATGGGATGAAGAGACATGCATGGGATGGTGGCACATGCGTGTGATGGTGGCACATGCATGGGATGATGGCACATGCATGGGATGGTGGCACATGCATGGGATGGTAGCACTATTCAAGCCATGCCCACGTACCCCCATTCGCCATAGTCACAAGCGAATGTGAATCCTACCATGCGTACATTTGAATCGTCGAAAAACATGGCAATGGGCATGCGCAGCTCGAAGCCCCTGTTCACCATGTGGAGTGTAGAACCCCATCTTGTCAGGCAGTCCACGATCAAACGCAACGGACCCGATGGTCGCCGAGAACCCGGAGGACCCTGGGGCCGGGTCGTCGCGTATCCCTTCTGGAGCTCGAAGAAACGATCTGTGCGCAGTGTGGACCAGCCGATGTAGTTCGCCACGTCTCGCAGCCTCTTGAGTGGCTCGGCCACCTCGTCAACCTTCAGTGCAGCTTGCACTGCAAGGTTGACGACGTGCGCCATGCACCTGTTGGGGCAATGCATTGTGCAGAGTGGGTTTAATGTCAGTGTACCACATAAGCACTGCCATAACAAACATGGTGGACTACGCCAACAGTTTATAGCATACCCTTACGGGGACAGCCCCATAGTACCTGAAGTGCCTCCAGCGACTGAGCAGTGGTGGGTGTCTGGGCCTTGAGCCCGACCTGGCGTCAGGTACACCAGCCAGCAGACGCATCGCCCTGCTGTTGTTCTCGGTGTTGTCACACATCACGGCGAACAACATCTTCTCCAAGCCCCACTCCCACAACACCTCCTCCAGCTCATCGGCTATCAAGTCCCCCGTATGAGAGCCCTTAAGCTCCCTGAAGTCTATAACAGCCTGTTTCAGCTGGAAATCGCTGGAGACATAGTTGGCAGTCACCCCCATGAAGGCCACGTTGTTCTCACTGGTCCAGATGTCAAAGGTGAGGGACATCCTTCCCGCCAGGCCATCACCCACCAGTAGCTGCCGCATGTCCTCCCTAGCAGCCTCCCTGTATGCCTGAATGTCCCGTGCCAAGCGATGGCGTGAGCCGAGCAGTAGCGCAGCTCCCGGGTTCAGCATCTTGACAAATGCTTTGAACTGTAACGCAGGAGTCAAAGGATGTCGGTAAAAGGATTATGAAGATGCTTCGGGATTAGCCAACAGAATGCAGTGCGGCTGCCCTGCACTAATATGACCACCTCAATACGGAGATGAACATGACCAACGGCAAGAGAACGGCGTCACTCACCTCGCGACACTCAACAAGTCGAAACGGAAGGTCAGCTGCCGCAAATAGCTGCACCAATCCCTCGCGCAGCTGCTGGCCATGAACACGCGGCGTGACGAATGCGGCCATGCTCATCTGCCTACTCCCACCAGCCTCGGATCCGCCAGTCACTGCGCTGTTTGGTGTCTGTACAATCCTGGGCCACGTGGCTGCATGCTCCCAAGGCCACGCTGTCTGGTCTGGGACATCCGGACCCCATCCCCCATCGGGAAACGTCAGGTTGTCTGGCTTGTTTGGATCCTTGAAACGCCGACACCAGATCTGCAGACTGGGGTAGTGGCTCCTCTTGAGGTGTCTCTTCCCCGTGCTCGTGCAACTACCTTTCCAGCTAATCTTCTTCTTGCAAATCTTGCAATTCCTAGCCTCTTTCACATCCTTCTCACTGAACATGCCACGAACCAGCCCGGGTTCTGCATTCCTAAGCACCTCCTCAGTCCATGGGTCCAGCTCCTCGTCGGTAGGGGTCCTGCCCGCCCTGTCGGATCTCTGGCTTGCTTCAGCCCCCGCAGAACCACCCAAAGGTGCACCACCTGCCGCAGCGGCGGAGGTACCTGCCCCTGCTGCGCCCGACCCCTCAGAACCACCCGCGGCTGCCCCCTGCGGCTGCGAATTCGACGCCGGCCCGGCCCCTCCAGCTCCCGACCCCACAGGCCCACTCGTGCGTGGCCTCTTTGCTGCTGCACCGCTGCCACGCGCGCCACTGCCACCAGCCTGGCCCCCTCCTCTCCCTCCCCAACCCTCATCACCCGATCCTCCACTCGTGCCGGCCGCCTCCCCCGGAGCCGGCCTCCAATCCGGGTCCTTCTCCTTTCCTCGTGTTCCTTGCTCCTCCGTCACTGGGCCAGGTCCTTGAGACTCCCATTCCCGCACCTCTTCACGCCTCCTCGTCGCGATTGCATCGTCCCACCCAATTTCCTGCCCATTGAAGACGCTCCCCAAGCGAAAACTGGCCCTGGAGGCCGGTGTCGGGAGGCCTCCAAGCGAAGCCCCAGGAATAGCACGTGAGCTGTCTTCTTCCCCCTCCATTCTCGTGCAAGCGGCGTCGATTACGTTTCGGACCTTGGAGTCGCGACGTTTTTGTAATGGCACAGGCCTAGACAATTGGGGGTCGCGTCCCTAAAGATGCGGGCGTGGTAGGCGCGCAGTGGGCGATTTGAACGCGGGGCCAGAGTTTAGTCGTGTGTGAGAGCTAGGAATAACTAAGTCTATAAAATCGAAAATCTGAGGTTGGTCGCGCTAGGCTAAGAAGTCCATTCCGCCAACATTGACACACTTGAAATAGGGTTCCTAAACATGGGCGCTGGATTAGAGAGTTCTAGAGCTTGAGAACGAGCTATTGCTAGCTGCCTAGGTATAGCAGATCGAAGTCAATGTCGAGGGAACAAAAAAACCCTAGACATTGACTTCGCGATCTGGTTTAGTTCGAATTGTCGTGGGAGGGAAACTCGGGTCGGGCCAAATGCCCGACCCGACTTAGGGCGCGGTACCCGATTTCGAGTCGGGTCAAATTTCGGGTCAAAAACTGACCCGACCCGACCCGACCCGGTTTCGGGTGTCGGGTCGGCCCGACCCGGCCGGGTAAACCCGACCCGACCCGCCCGGGTCAACGCTTCAAAATGCCTGACCCGACCCGGGTCAAAACCCGGGTCGGGTCGGGTCGGCCCGACCCGCCGGGGCAGGATGATCATGCCTACTTGGTGCAGTCGGCGAATAGCCAGTCTGGTCGACCTGGAGCTGGTCGACTTGGGGTGTGGCCGACTTGGTGAAGTCGGCTGGTGGTCGTCGATTTGGGTGGTCGGCGAGCACGAACAACTGTTGGTCGACTTTTACCGAAAAAGTCGACACCGACTTAGTGGTTTCCAGGTCGAAAAAGTAACAAGGGCGACGAGGTTTAGCGCAGTGCGCGATAGTCGCCCGGGTAGTTTTGGCGAAGCCGACCTCGGAGGTGGTATCCCGATGTCGACGTGGCTGATCAGGCGCAGTCAATGGCACGTGGTCGACTTGGCGTCTGTGTTGTGCACGTGACGATGCACAGCATGCCAATCAACAGTGAGCACCTGCGAAGTTGGTGCGCTGCTGTCATGCGGGTCCAACGCTGTGCAGCCACCTTGCTGCAACTTTGGCATGCCGTCGACTTGCAACGTTGGCACGCCGCCTTTCTACAGCGCTGGAGCGGTGCGGACTTTGCAGCGCTAGAACACGGTCGACCATGCTGCGCTGGAGGTTGACTTGCTTGCATGCTAGGCAGACATGCATCTGATGTAGTCCACTTTCTCAATATTGTTGCCACCATTGTTCACAACTTTTGGTAGTGAAACTCTTGCCAATTCCTCCCGTGAATGTGTGCGTAGAGAGAACACGAGAAAACACTGAGAAAAGTTGAGATCACTCTCACAACCGTGCCTTTTCTGTGGTCTAGCTCCCGTTGAAGAGTCTATCCCCGCATTGACAACATTGAAAGAACCTTATTGCTAGTTGCACTGCATAATCAGCTCTGTTTCATCAATGTTGCTTGTCTGTGCTTTCTGTTCCTCTGGCCATGCCACAAATCTCATCTCATCACTTCCACCGACCTTCCTACACACACACACAGGAGTCTCTCGAACAATGCTTTGACGGGCTCCTTTGCCTATAGCATCTTCTCGCTTTCTAGTCTCTCCACTCTGTACGAAGTTCCTTGTCTATTGTCTGTGCCTCAATCTAAAGCAACTTGTCTAGGCCTCGTGCTAAGCATGAGAGGAGTGGTAAGGACATTGAGAGGGGTGCATAGGGACTTCAACTCCGCTCAAAGGGATTGTTGTCTTGCCGGCCACAACACCCCATGCCACGGTTTTTTTCTTTGACTGAAAGGACCATTCATTGCTTCTGTTCATTTTCAGGGTAAAAAATAAACTCCACTGTAATGATTGGCCATTATCTGGAATGCATGGCCCTCCCTCTCCATTGTCCTACTCCTTCAGGGCTGTATTTTTTCATCGTCTGTCAGGCATTTAGATGGGAATCACTTTGGTGGAACCATTTCGCCCTCTCTAGGGGCCTTACTCATCTTGTAGTGCCTGAAAGTATCTTGGTAACAATCTTTGGGTATCCCAGTCAGGAGTGGCTTTGGGGTTGACAACATTGAAAAAACCGTGTGGCATTGCACTACCTAATTAGCTCTGTTTCATCGATATCGTGTACGTGTGTTTGCTGTCTCTCTGCCAATGCGAACAAGTCTCATCTTTTCCCTTCTACTGACGTACCTAACCATACACACAGGGATCTCTCACACAACGCATTAACAGGCTCCGTTCCCGGCGACTTCTTCAAGCTTGTTAATCTCACTTTTTTGTATGAAGCATCTTTTTCTTGTCAATGCCTCAATACGAAGCAGCTTCTTTAGGCCTCATGCTACGCATGAGAGGAGTGATAAGGACCTTGAGAGAACTGCTTAGGGACTTCAACTTGCATTCAAATGAATGGTTATGTTGCATGCCAGAACGCTTGATGTTAGAGTTGTTTTTGTAACTTCTGTTCATTTTCAGGGTTGAAATTATCTCCATTGCAATGATTGACCATCATTTTGAATCCATGACCCTCCTTCCCTCTTCATTTTCCAACGACTTCATTTTGAGCTATTGTTTTTTATCGTCTGTCAGGCATGTACATGCGAATGCGAATCACTTCAAAATAACCATTTCGCCCTCTCTAAGGGCCTCTTTGTGTCAATCTTTGGATATTCCAGCCATGAGTGGATTTGGGATTGACAATATTGAAAGATGCATATGGCTAGTTGCACTATCTAATCAGCTCTGTATGATCAATATCTCTTGTGTTTGCTTGCTGTCCCTCTGGCCGTGCCGACAAGTCTCATCTCTTCATTTCTACCGACCTACCTACCCACACACACAGAAGTCTGACAAACAACGCTTTGAAGGGCTCCATTCCCTACGACATCTCCTCACTGACTAACCTCTGCTATTTGTACAAAGCACCTTGTTTATTGTCTATGCCTCAATACGAAGCAACTTATTTAAGCCTCGTGATAAACATGAGAGGAGTAGTAAGGACCTTAAAGGGGCTGCATAGGGACTTCAACTTGCGTTCAAAGGGATGGTAGTGTTGTCATCCACAACACCCCATGCCACAGTTGTTTCTATAACAAAAAATATATCTCTTTGCTGTTGTTGATTCCCAGGGTCAAATTTACCTCCATTGCAATGATTGGCTAGCATTTTGGAATGCATGACCCCCCTCCCTCTTTATTCTCCTTCCCCTTCATCGTGGGCTGTGGGTTTTCATCGTCTGTTGGGCGTGTAGATGGGAATGACATGAATGGGCCCATTCCTTTCTCTTTGGGACCCTCACTCAGCTTGCATTGCAGTGCCTGAAAGTATCTTAGTAACAAAGTCTGGGTATCCAAGCCATAATTTACTTAGTGTTAACATCATTGAAAGAACTGTATTACTAGTTGCACTATCTAATCAGCTCTGTTTCATCAATCCCACTTGTGCATGCTTGCCGTCCTTCTGGCCATGCCCAAATGTTCATCCCTTCACTTCTACCGACCTGCCTACTTCGACACACAGGGATCTCTCGCACAATGGTTTGACAGGCTCCATTCCCAACAGCATCTCCTCGCTTACTGCTCTTAATAAATTGTATGAATCACCATGTCCATTATCAATTTTAAGTACGAAGCAACAACCTTAGACCTCATGCTAAGCATGAGACGAGTGGTAAGGACCTTGACAGGCTGCATAGGGAATTCAACTTGCGTTCAAAGGAATGGATGTTTCTCGGCCACAACACCCCATGCCACAGATTCTGTAACCAAATGGACCATTGACTGCTATTCATTTCCAGGGTTGCATTAAACTCCATCTCAATAATTGACCAGCATTTTGGAACGCATCGAACTCCCGCCCTCTTCATTCTCCTTCTCCTTCATCTCGGGCTGTGGTTATTCATCATCCGTCAGGCATCTACATGTTTTTTTTTTTTTTTTTTAGTGGATCCATTCCGCCGTCTCTAGGGGCGTTATTCCGCTTTATGGTAACATTTAGGCATGAGCAGGAGGCCCGCCCATGCGGGTCGGGCCGGCCTGACCTGACCCGTGATTTGGGTGGCGTGGATCGGGTCAGAGGTTTCAATAGCCTGTCCCGGGAAGGTCGGCCCGACCTGGTCCGGCCTAAAACCCGACCCGAGCAGGGAACTCGGGCCGGGCTTTTGTCCCGTGTTGACCCGACCCGTATTCGGGTCAGAAACTGGAAAATCGGGTTGGGTCAGGCCCGACCCGATTACGAAACGTGAGGGACGCGCGGAAACCCGAAACGACCAAGTCGATGTTGAGGGAACGTTTTTTCTCTCGACAACATTCACCGAACCTAATTTCTAACCTTCAGCCCAGAATTCCCATTTTCTAAACGCCGACCAGCGCAGAGCGTGGGCAGAAGCAGATTTTCTGTCCCAACCCGACCTCGAGTCGGCCCGACCCGAAGTCGGGCCAGGCCTGACCCAGCCCTGTACCACCGGGTCGGGTCAGGGTATTCAACATCCTGGCCGAGGCTGGCCCGACCCGACCCGGCCTGGAAACCCGCTTGCCCCGGCCAAGTCAGGTCGCGCCGGGCCAAATGCTCATGCCTAGTAACACTCTTCGGATAACCCAACCATGAGTGGCTTTGAAGTCGTTAACATTAAAAGAACCGTATGGCTAGTTGCACTACCTTATCGGCTTTGCTTCATCAATATCGCGTATGTGTGTTTCCTGTCCCTCTAGCCATGCCCACATGTCTCATCCCTTCACTTTCTTCCAACCTACCTACCCACACGCACAGGGATCTCTCGAACAACAGTTTGACGGGCTCCATTCCCAACAGCATTACCTCGCTTACTGCTCTCAATTATTTGTACGAAGCACATTGTCTATTGTCTATGCCTCAATACAAAGCACCTTGTTTAGACCTCGTGCTAAGCATGAGAGGAGTGGTAAGGACCTTGAAGGGGCTGCATAGAGACTTTAACTTGCGTTCAAATATATGGCTGCG